TTCACCTGAGTCACCTGCCTATGGTACTCTCAAGATACATAAAGATGTAAAGCTTGAGTGCCTGTATTTGTCAAAGGATGTGTGAGTAAACAGGGAAAACTGCACTGTCTTTAGAAGAGACTGAAACACACCTGAAGGGGAGCAGTTACCTCCATGAGTTTGGGAGAGGGGTGTCCCAGGGCATGGGATAGATTTTTTTTTCCAAATCAGGTACACAAAATGGCATAAATACTGGTGAAAGTTCACCTGTTTTATATCTGATATGGATCTCGCATCTACAGTTCAGTGACTGACAATTAATTACCAATATATAGTTGTCAGTTAATTATGTGTCCATAATAAACCAAAGAAACATTTCAGTCCTGATTTTAAGCTATACAAACTGAGCACTTTTCACTTTGTGACAAGTCATTCACACTCTAGACAGAGCTCAAAGGAAATGAAAGGTGATATTTAAATACATTAAGAAAAAAAAAAGGTAATGAAGAATTCAGTTTTGTATGTTGCTAGCTTTTTGATTTTCCCAGATAATGCAGATCAGAATGCCACACTGAGAAAAACAACATAAAAGAGGCATGAAATTACATATAATTTCTGAAAGAAGATCCTTCCATTCTTGGAAATACGGACTCAGATTGGAAAAGCTATTCTCAGAATAAACTGAGAGAAATTTAAAAATTGAAGAGAGAGCATTTATTAGATTTTGAGGCACCTCTGTAGCCTCTCTAACTGACAACCTACCAGCTTGACCATTCTACTTCTCTATGCAAATATTCTGCATATCAAATAACTGCTTTCAATTGTGAAATGCAAAAAAAAAAAGTCACTCTTACCCTCATATGATTCAATTTCTTTCTTTCCATACCTTCAGAACAGTTTTTTCATCAGAGAATAAAAGGACAAGCTAACATCTAAAGATGGGTATTTTGATTAAACTCTTAATATCCATCCTAAAAATGCATCTAGTATAAATGTACTTACAACATTTTTAAAAGAGAACCAAACACTTGTTCTCTAACGAGTGGGGAAGGACAGACTGCAAAAGAAAATTCCATCTGTCTTGACCCTTAAAAGCTCTTTTTTCACTAACAGAACTGATTTCTCTATTTCTGAAACATTTCTAAGATGTTCTGATAGAAAAACAAAAAGAGAAATAAAAAGAGACAATAGAGGAAATTCTTCCTGTTCTATTACAATTCATTTGTCATTTTAATCAGTCTTGGGCATCATGAATAGGCACACACATTCATTTTTGTGGCCAGACACACAAAAAAATCCCAGAAGACTGCAAGCATGTTCTTTTGAAATTTATATATTTTTAAAGGGTCCTGTGCTAAAACAACTTAATGCCTCAAAAATTTTGCTAAGCCATTGCTAATTCAAAATAATCTTTTCAAAGATGGAGCTTTGGAACATGTGATGGGATACAAAAAGGCAGCTTCATATCTGGGCCTGCTCTGTTTCATACAAAGCAGCATGGGAAACAATGTGGCGGAAAAAAGCTTTGTTCTAAACAGAAATTCTAACAGAAGTTTTGATAAGTAATTATCACCCAGATCAGATCATTTTCCAGATTTTACAAGTGATGGGAGATGCATAAAAACCCATCTAGAAATCTGGCTCATAACAAAGCAATGAAGACTTTCTCATTTATGAGATTTGGATGCTGTGACTCAGCAAGATGTCTATGTTAGAAATTCCCTTGTCAGAACTAATTTTTCAAATATCCTAAAGCTTGCTGCAAATCATACTGGAAGTTATTATTTGCAAAGGAAACACTTCTAGAAGAAATGTCAAAATTGCCAGCAAAGTGATGCGGCCGAGGCAGTTGCTCTGAAACTGCAAGATGTCCAAAAACACTATTTGCAGTCAAGTAAAATGGAGATCACTACTTCCAGTCTTCTAAAAATAAAAAAAAAAAATCTCAATGGCAAGGATTGTTGAAACTACAAAACATCATGAAAAAGAGCAGTCTTTCCCATAACACCAATTTAAGACCAGTAGAAAGCGGAAAGATACGTTACCTTTATGAAAGATAACAGATCCTGTTTTCTTCTATTGTCTTGCATAAATATATTTTTATCGGTTTAGAAAAAAAAACCTTTGACACAGCACAGTCAAATGGAAAGATGTGTCAAGCTCTTGATAGCTCTAACAGCTTATTTCTGGAAGATGTTTATAGCTGCTTCAAAGTTGATGTAAATTCTTCCACAAAATTGAGTCCCAAATTTTTGGCATCATTCAGAGCAAAAAAGACACAACATGTAACTGCCATATTACACTTCCAAAACAAAACTATTACTTTAAGAAGCTTTTTTCTTTCCCATCATGCTGTACTGGCTGAAGATGCATGAAGATATATTTATCTAAGGCACTTTTACCTCACATACACTTTTAAGCATCTCCTCAGGCAAACAAATGGATACAGTCCAGGCTAGAAAACTGGACACTATTGTGGACTGGACTCACAGGACTGTCAGCAGCAGCTTGAGGTCCACTAGTGATCAGGCACAAGGATTGACACTGAGGCTGATACTGTTTAACATCTTTACCAATGACCTTGGCAGTAGGACAGAGAGTTCCCTTAGGAAGTATGTACACAATACAAACTGGGAGAATGGTAGATTACAGCAGGTGGGTCTGGTGCCGTCAGAGGTGCTCCAACAGCCTGGAGGATTGAAATGACAAGAAATTCAGCAAGTGCACCAAAGGGAAATGTCAAATCCAGCACCTGCGGAGGAATAAACCCCTGACTTTAGTCACACTTGGAACTAACCATATAGAAAGCAGCCTGGAAGAGATCAGACAGCCATTGTCTTATTTGTGCAAAGACAGCAGCACCCAGGACTCCATTAAGGGAGAGCCTCACTAGCTGTCACTCTATTAGGAACGGCGAGAAGAGAGGCACAGACTCTCTATGGAGTCGATTAGGAGAAATTCTCCTAGTTTATTACTTCAGGTCTCTTTTATAGACTGATACACGGAAAGCACAGAAGGAAACTCTTATTGGTTAGCAAACTACTACATTACCATCATTGGTCAGTGGGGCACACACCCCCCAACCTTCTCCTGCAAAGAAAACAAGGGACAGAGAAACAACACCTGCAAGGCTGTTTTCTGTCTTTGAGGATTGTTTTAAATCCTCCCCATGAACTTCCCAGACCAGCTTCTCTGAGAAGAAGTTCTCAGAAGACTGAGAAGCTATATGGCCTGCAGTTTCACAAGCTCTGTTTCAGAGTTAGCATCCACAACTAGCTGCTCAAGGGATATCTCCATTCTCTCTAATAAGCAGTGGTGAGATCCACATCTGGGTGCCGGGGTCCAGTTCTCAAGACCACACTAAAGCCATGGGTGTGCCAGAAGAAGTCCACTGAGGCACCACAGATGATGGTGGGAACAAAGCACGTGTCATACAAGCAACTCCCTGGGTCTTTTTACTCTCAAGAGGAGAAAGCTCAGCAGGGATCCTAACAATGTGTGTAAGTACCTGATGAAGGGAAGTACAGAAAATGCAGCCAGACTGTGACTTTCTTGGTCACCCGATAGTGACTAGCAAAGGGATGAAAAGCAATACACAGAAACAGAAATACAAGAAGTTCTGATTAAAATCAGAAAAAGATTTTTTTACTAGTTAGGGTGGTCAAGCCCAGAGAGCTTGCAGAGTCTTCACCCTTTTGGGTATTTGAAATAGGGAATGGACACAGTTCAGACCAACCTGGTCTGCTGCTTCATGGGGTCAGGTTGAACTAAATGATCTCCAGAGGCATCTTCCAGCTTTAACTCACCTGTAATTTCATGGTTCTGCGAAATTCTCAGCCAAGTGTACCAAGAATTCAGCATCACTGAAAACATTTATAAACCGTTTGCTGCTTTATGAAAAAATCTGAACCATTCTTTATTAGTCTCTTTTCCACAACCAGAATTTTCTTGCCACCCTCCCCACCATTAAATTTCTGGCAGCTGTTTTTGTCTGGCACCTCAGTATAGAGATGGCTCTGTCTTCAACATTTTGCCAGTTGCACTAAGGGGTGCTCTCAGAAGGCTGTAATCAAAGCTGACTGCCTGAACAGTAACATTCAAAACATGCAAAAGCCACTCAACCAAGACACGATATGCCCTCTGAACAGGAAAAGTAGGTAGGAATGGATGAATCATGATGACCTTACCTGCATCAGCAATGCCCTATCTGGACATACACTACTCTCAATCAAGCCAACCCTCAATTTGCAGTTACAGTACCTTAAGCTTGACCAGAGTTTTAACACTCCCAGCCATGCCGCAGAGGTAAAGTCAGCAGAGGTCCCACATTGAAATTTTGTAAATCCCACCTCTTAAACTTGATTTCCAAGTTAACAAATGCCCTCTTTAGACAGCCTACTACACTAAGGTTGCAAAACTACTAGAAGTAAAAAAAAGATCCTCTCCAGCTTCAATGCAAAGAGAAGTTTTTGTGGAATTGCAACCTTATTTGCAATGCAGAGAACTAGGTTACCAAAGTTAGTAAGGCTCCTAAGGAAAGAAGGTATCAACTGACATAATAAAAAAGAAAATTAGTTCTAGTTCTCATAAGAGATATTACATGCCACAGCATTTTCCTTCAGTCTTAAACAGTATATATACCTATTGTAAGCCTCAAGAACCAGTGACAAAAGCTACCTGCCTTTTACTGGTATTAATCAACTCAGATGACATTTTAAAATTAATTATCACCTGAAAAGTACTTACAAGGCCCATTAATAGACCAAAATCATCCTGGTATAGATCTCTGATCCTTGAAATACTTTTGGAGATCTACACTGAGGATTAGACACTAAGGTATGCATCTGTCCCTGATTCTGAAAACAAAACATTAATAAAACATTTAGAAACTAAATCCTTCTGAGAACTCAGTGAACTCTTACACTGTAAGATTTAGTTAGCATTTTATTTACAATGAACAATATTTCTTTGAAAAACTATTCCCTCTCCCACCTCTGCAGTGGAGAGAGCATTCAGCTTACCTGAAAATAGAAGAAAGCTTGACCAAACCAGTAGTGCATGATAGTAATCTGTGCTGCATCAAATTTCAAAGGTATCCAAATATATTTTGTCATCATTGTCTGAATCAGCAGACAAAACACCAAGACTGGTAAATTGTGAGGTCTAAATAGAAGAGCTGCTAGTAGAACCAATCCGCTATATACTTCCCATAATCCTGTGCTCTTCGTGGTGGAGTCTGCAGAAATAACCTGTGACTTTAGTAAATCTTTAGTGCCAGTGAAGACTATGCCAAGAACAAAGACATAAACAAAACGGGCTTCAGTAATCCCCCTGAAGAGAAAATAAAATCGAAAAAAATTAATAAATAAATAAACCGAAAAGATTAGTTGCTTACTAATACCTACTTCAGAGCCTTTCAAGAGAGGTCAAGACCAACCAGTTCTGCCAAACAGGTTAAATCCTAGGCTAGTATTTTTCAAATCCCTAAAAAGTTCCATTACCAAAAAAATTTATGTTTTAAGTTGTAAGTGTAATTAGCACTTAGACTATCTTCAAACCACCTATAAATTCATTTGCTTCTTAATTTCCAGTGAAAGCCAGTTTCTGAAGGAAACACAGCATGTTGTCCAAAAATGCGAACAAGGACAAGGACCGGAAAGCCTAAAAACTGTGACCTGCTATTCTAGAAGTACAAGGTCTGAGAAACTAAGGCTGAAAGGGACTACAGCAAGTCATCTGGTCCAACCTTCCTGCTCAAGGTTCAAGCAGGGTCATGCTAGAGTCATTGCACAGGACTGTGTCTAGACAGTTCTTTAATATCTCCTATGAGGGAGAGTCAACAGCATCGCCATGCAACCTATTCCAGTGTCTGGTCACAGTAGGTGTTTCCTCATCCTCAAGTGTAACTTTCTGTGCATCAATTTCTGCCCATTGTCTCTTGCCCTGTTGCTTGGCACCACCAAGAGCCTGGATCCATCCTCTGACACTTTTCCTTCAGAGACTCTGCTGAGGCTGTCTCTCAGTCATTCTCTTCTCAAGGCTGAACAGGACCAGCTCCCTAAGCCTTTCTTCATAAAAGAGATGCTCCAGTCCACTAACCACTTTCAGAGTCCATCTCTCAACTCACTCTTGAATCTCCCATGTGTCTGTTGTCCTGAGGAACCCAGAACTGGACACAGTATTTCAGATATGCTTCATCAGGGCTGAGTAGAGGGGCAGGATCACCTCCCTTGAACTGCAGGCAACGCTCTTCCAATTTTCCAGAATCCCACTGGCCTTTTTGGCCCCCAGGACACACTGCTAGCTACTGGACAGCTTGTTGTCCACCAGGATACCCCAGGTCCTTCTCTGCAGAGCTGCTTTCCAGCAGGTCACCCCCAGTCCATTCTGAGGTCTGGGGTTGTTCCTCCCCAGGTGCAGGATCCTGCACTTGGTCTCTGCTAAATTTTGAACAGCTCTCTGCCCAATTCTCCAGCCTGTCGAGGTCATTCTGAAGGGCTGCCTAAGTGTCCACTCATCCAGTCCACACTTCTTGAGCTTGTTCATGAAGGCATTGTGAGAGACAGTGTTGAAATCCTTGCTGAAGTCGGGGTAAACAACATCCACTGTTCTCCCCTTGTTCATCCCTGTATTTGTTTCATTGCAGAAGGTAATTACAGGATGGTCAAGCATGATTTACCTTTGTTGAATCCATGCTGACTACGCCTAATCACCTTCTTGTCATCCATGTGGATAGAGACAAACCCATTCCAGAATGAGGTGCTCTCCCATCACCTTTTCAGGGATGGAGGTGAGGCTGCCTTGCTGATAGTTTCCTCGATCTTCGTTCTTGCCCTTTTTGAAGACTGGGGTGGATGAAGACTGGGAAGACTGGAATTCTTCCAGTCCTCAGGCACCTCTCCTGATTGCCACAACCTTTCAAAGGTGATCATTAGAAGGCTCACTATGCCCATCAGCTCCCTCAGCACCTGTGGATGCTTTTCACCACGACCCATGAGTTTGTGGATGTCAGATTTGCCTACATGTTCTCTAATCAAACCTCCTTGAGAAAGTCTTTCTTTCAACATTCTTTCTGCTGGATCAGAGATCCCTAGCTGGTCTTGTCAGTGAAGACCAATACCAAGAAGACATTCAGTAATTCTGACTTCTCTGCATTCTGTTACATTTCTTCTTGCATGTACATAACCAAGAAAAAACCAAGAGAAAAAGGCGAAACCATAACACAACAGTAATGTGGTTTTCCTAAACCTGAATACAGTGCACTGTTCTGTCATTTACCTTTCAATGGTTCAAAGTTATACCTAACAGCCTGTGAAAAAGGGCTTTACTGTTTTATTCTCTTTAATAGCAACCCTTTGTAAAAAACCTATATTGCCCATTGGATTTTTCCTTTAGGGAAGAAAGAATAAAGTTCACTAAACAATAAAGTTTAGAGAATTCCTGTGTTTCTGGCTAATGCAGAAATTCAGTGCCCCTTCTCAGCATCTCTGGTAAGTCTGATATAATTATTACTGTTATTATTACTATAATTATGTAAAAAATTACATACTTACTTTAGATGTAAAACTTTAGAAAATACATTGAGGTATTTGCCTATTCAATAAATTGAGTGAAAACTGGAATTAACCAGTTGATGGAGATTCAAACTAGAAAAAGTGCTCCTCAGCAAATGCACACTATTATTTTGTTTGTTTTAGTATACTATATACTCATAATTTTCATTGCATAGGCTACATTTTTTTTTAAATAACTCGGAGGCAAAAAGAGCAAAAATTCTTCATCTTAGAGAGGAATACACTATGCATGAAAATTGCAGTGGCTGCCTACAACGTTTTCTCATATTACACAAAATTACCTCTGCCTTGCACCTGGATCTGGAGCTATTCCACAAATCATGAGTACACTAAAGATACCTCTAGACACATTTATTTATGTTTGCATTTTAAACAGTATTTTATCATATAAATCACATCAACCATCCAATTAATATAAGCAAGTATCACTGTGACAACATGTCACCTATCATCTGAAGGTGAGACAATCTATTAAGATTTGTCTACCATCTCTTTTGACATGCTGTACTGGGAGCCTTGCTGAAGGTAATGTTTGATGAGTCAGTGACCATGCCTTTCTACTGGGCCTTGTACTTTTCTCCTGAGAAGCCCACATGTTAGCACATGGATAGCCAGGGACCATGCTGGAAGCCCTAAGCCAGCCTGGTAGGTAGGTATCGTGATAGAGACAATGTTCTGATCTGGCAGGCACAGACTCAAGCTCATTTTGGATTGTTTGCTGGTTTGTTTTTATGCAAAAGTGAAAGGCAGCATGGTATGTGAGGGAGGCAGAACTTCTCTTCAGATAGGAACCATGTGCCACAATGTGCTACGGGAATGTTCACTTGGGGTTTATATAAAGCTCTGGCATAATTTAAGTAAATCACTGTGTTCACTATTTATTTAATAACAGAAATAATACAAAAGGCTTTGTATTTTGTAATAATTGAGATTCATATGCTGACTATAGAATTAACAAGTTTCAAGTAAATGTTTGACTTCAATACTTAAGTACTGCACTTATTTCTCTAACCACATTTTATTTATGGCTCAGTTGCTGTATTTAATGTTCTGTCCCATGCTGCAAGGACAGTATTATTCTCCAAGGCTTTCTTTCACTGAAAAAAGACACAAAGCAAAAATAGACATCACACTCAAAAATCAGGCATGTTTCAAGCATAGAGCCAAATTCTGCATAAGTAGAGATTATTATTTTCTCATGAAGCAGAACTAACACACAGTGTTAACACTAGTATGGAATTACAATGATCTTCAATATTTGGAGAGATAGAATGTATGTAAATATATCCAGATACACATATAAACAAGTATTTCTAGTAAAATATGCCATGTTTGCAAACCTGATGTTCATTATTTCCTAAGATCTTAGGCTGAAGGGCTTTTTCCATCTCTACACATCTCGTGGCCCCTGACTAAGAAGCACCAACATCATTTATATTGATAAAAAATTCAAAATGAGTGCAAGAGGAAGTTCTCCATCTAGAAGACAATGGTTTCAATAGCTTCTCTTCCATAATCTCCTACTTCTCATCAAATGTTCCCACTGACTCTGGAAGTTTTCCACAACCCTCTGACATTTAGAGAACTTGAGACTGCAGCGCCAGACATAAGAAAACTGAAGTCACTTAGCTACATGCCAGAAGTAGTCATTGGTGAAAGAGTTAACTTCCTAACAGTTACTGACTAGTTCTTTAACAAACTTAACATCAGAAAAAAAAACCTTACTATGCAGTGCGCTGCACAGGTGAGACCTTGAGAAGAGCATGGTTCATCTTGAAAGCCCATGTTACAGAAATTCAACTGCAAAAGCAAGGTATGGAAAAGCAGCTCTCTGAACTACTAAGCACTTTTGAAACTAAGAAATAGCTAAATGAGCTTGGCTTATGAGCTGCTAGATGTGTTAAGTCCATCTGAAACAACAAGAGATGGTGCATTTAGAGTCTTTTGTAGCAAAAATACAGATTATAACTAGGTCTTCCTCATATTAATTCTTATCTGACTGGCTTCTCACCTGTCACAGTCAAAATAAACTTCATGTGGCTTAAAATTAAACATGCATCACAAAAATTCAGTGCTGGTCACCTCAAACTACAATTCTATTTGTAAGAACATAATTCCAACCTAGAACATCCTGTCCACCTCATCCCCTGATAGCCAAAGGGTTCAATACCTTGCTAGAAACAGTTACTTATCTGTTGATGAGCTTACTTTGAAATATCTTTGCCACCATGTTGCCATGGAAATATGACATTTCCAATAGCTGCCCGGTAACTGTAGACTCCCAGGAGCCCGAGTGCCATAGCAATTTTTGAAACCAGGGAGCATCTTCTTTGAACCAGAAAGAAGATCATAAGAAGGGAGACTGCAGCCAAGAAGGAGAGTTCAGATTTATGCTCAGAGCTGGGAAAGAAAATGAAACAAAAAATTCCTTTTAAAACAGTAATTAGTGCTAAACACATTTGATAGAGCCTTAACTACAGCACTATATTAAATAAACTGTATTAATTATTGCAGCACCAAATTAATCAGTGTAGTGCTATCTGTTACAAACTTTCCAAGAGGTACGGTAAAATATTCTAGTATTTTCAGAAAAGCAGTTTTATTAATGAGGTTTTCTATTCAAGCATGCACATTTGAAAGTGTAATTATTGTGTTCCACCATATGCTAGTTACTCTCTTAATTATATAAAAACTGAGCTGCATATTGCATAATAGAAAAGGTTCTACTGCTTTTATACTAGGGTTTTGTTATTTATACATTTTGAAAAAGTGTGTTTCCCTTATACTACAGCATTGTATTTTCTAACACTACACAAAAGATTTTTGCACTACAAGATTAAAACTTTCTTTTGAAATAACTACATATAGTAACATATAATAACTATATTTGTTTAATTTGACACATTATCTACCCTACTACCTACCTATTACCTATCCAAAATGAACAAAAACATAGTTTAAAACACACACACACAAACTCATTAGCACAATCTGATTCCCTTATGCAATTATAGCACCTTATATTGTGCCAATACATAGAAGAGGTAAGACATAAAATTTGCATCATTGGCAGAGAAGATCACAGATATAGCTTCTTTGTTTGCTCCCCTGCATCCTAAATAGGTAACATTCATTGCGGAATCAAGGGCATTTTATTGAGCTGTGTTATATACGCTGCCAATGTTATATACTTAAATCTTCAGTAGTACCAACTAGCGCCAAAAAATGTAATGGGGTAAGGCAAAGATCTACACCCATCCCTTAACACAGTTTCAGAAAGTCTGCTGTAGTCCAAGAATTGCCAACCCGTGCCTACTGAAAATATTCCCAGTATACCAAATAATATAAAACCACTAATTCTGTTAAATTTGCCTTCAGTTAAGAAGAGCATGTAGATTTTTAAAGCTAAGGGCTCCATCTTCTGTTTTCCACAACTCAAAATCCCATGATAAAAGATCACTAACTTCAGGAAAATAACAGTGTGCCTGGGCTGTTACTTGCATTGAATTCAATCACACTTACGAAATTCCAGTTTTATCTCTGACTTAATAAAAATTATTGTACTTCTAACAGGTTTACTTTCCTATTCCCTGGTATATACTGTATCAGGAGCTTGACCAATAGCTGTTCCAGCTATTGTTGTGCTTGAAAAGTCATGAAGGAAAGTTGTAGAGCAGATAAATTGTCCCATTTGTCCTGCATACAGGACCCAGTCATGTAGTTCTTACACCTTAACAAGATTCCCAAGAGATGCACCATTCTCTGAAAGCCAGTGGAGAAAAGTGAGAGGAATATGATCTAGAACACTATGAGACAGAAAATGTAGTCCTGATGTTTCTCCTCACAGTTATTCTTCCTCTACACATGGAGAGAGCAGAAACAGTGGACTCCTGCAGCAACCTGTGAAGATAATGCGCCACCTGCTTTATGATCAAAGCAAACAAACTAATTTAGTAACCACTAAACCTTTCAAATGAGCATTTATAGAAAATTTTAAGCATTCAAGTCATATTCTCCTTGTACTCATTGCATGAAAGCAAGACAAATCAGGGATAAATAACAGCACAACATCATCATCATCATCAGCTTTGTCTCTTAATCTAAAAAACTCAACACACATTGAGTTTTCATTCTTGACTGCTAGCACAGGGACTAACATACATCTCATGTCCAGGTTTTCTGGTAACAGTCTTCTGTGATCTCTGTTCAGAAATTTTTTTGAATCATACAAATCTTAGGTTTTGCTTTAAAAAACCTAGCCAAGTGTTTCACAGCATTTGCTGAAGAAACAATTAAAGGATTTACAGCAAGCAAAGTCAGGTCAGCACAAATCACCTACAGTTTCAAGGTTTTCTAGCCAATATTCCTACAGTCAGGCAGTTAAAAGCATATGTAATTATCACATATTTTGAAAGGAGATGGTAGTTGCTTAACACGGAGTCCAATCATTTAGCAAAATTCTAAATGGTTTTGATAGTCTGCTCAGAAATACAAGCACAAACAAGCTACTCTGATCTCAGCTGCCATGTCCTGGGTTTTGCACAAGCCACAGAATTGAAAGCGAAGAACCAATACTTTCCTGAGAGAAAATCTAATGAGAAGGGAAGGAAAAAAGGGCACTTTGGGTCTGTCTTCCTGCTGTAACAGTTTGTGGTCTACACTCATACTTCTGTTAATAGAATGAAGGTTGAAGATATTTTCTTCCACTGCTTGGACCTCACCTCATTACTGCAAATATAAGCAGAGTGAAAGGAATGGTGAATGTGCATGATTAGTAACTTAAGTAGATAAGGTCTTTTTTAAATGTTTCTTACATTTTAGAACTGAATACATAGAAGTCAGAAGGTGTGTTAGCTTTGAGAGGAAGGGCATTTGGGGATGGTTAGGTACATTATTAAAAGAAAATATTATCTTCCCATGTTGATGCTTCTTGCCACTTCTCTTCCAGCTGACACTGCCATGTAGCAGCTCTGACACCTTTCAAGTATCAGCACTGACCAAGATTAACAGCCAAATAAAGCTAACTGAGTAACAACCAATCAAAAAGAAAACCTGACTTCCAGACAGATTTAGATTGCCTGTTTTCTTCCATTTCATCTACTGTCTGATTTTCTTTTGCTCTTTTTCCCATCAAAGTATTTTTCAGGTTTCACAGTCTGTCTGCAAATAACAAAGAACGTCTTCCTTATTTTAGCACTGCTGAATGCATTCCTAGTAGCCAAATTCAACATGCTATAGGTAGATTGATTTTCTGTGTTTTGATATTTACATCAAACAGGAAAATCTGTACAACAGTCTCTCTGTTCTAAATGCTGAGCCCCTTAAGCACTGTGTAGTTAAGCAAAAAACTACTCTGAGCATATGCACAGATATCCGAAAGATCAATAAAGGGGAAGGAAAAAAGAGGGCCGTTTGTTCATTAGTTTATCTTAGAGACAAAATGGAAGGCTGGCTAGAAAAAGCCTGCAACCTTGAGTGGCCCAAACTCAAACAACAAGAGCACACATGATCTAAGGCTCCAAATTATTATTAGTAAAAAACATGCTATTAAGACATAACTATGCCAATTAAACTAGTACTAAAAATAGAGTAACAGTTCACCTTATAGACTACCAACGCATTTTGGGAAGAAGTGCTTTATGCAACCCAATTTATCACATACTTTTAATTCCTTCTATAAGGAAAACACATCATCTCAATCCTGATCAAATCACTAGGGAAACAGACATCTCTATGACCCTAATATTATGTGAAGGAGAAAGAACAAAGATGTTAAAATCCTCAACCAAAGAAAATGCAAGCATGCTGGCCAAATAGGAATTCCCAAACACTTTACAGACCACATGATGTGTAAAGATTTAGTTACATTATTGAATAACCTTTCTGAAGCTTGTTCAGTGAGCCGTAACAGTCATACATATCAACTACATCCCATCGTTCAAGTCCAAAAACTGTCATACTTCAAATATTATTAATCTTTTAACACTATATTGCAACTGTCAGAAAGGAGACATACTGTAAATTCTCCTGTTAGGCTGAAAATTGCTCCAGTGTTTTAAGTCAGGATGCAGCTCCACAGCAGCCTGAGTCAACCCGTGCAAAGGCTGTCAGGGTTCTGTCCTTTCACTTGCCCCCGAAACACAGCAGTAGTTACACAAATGAAAGGGTGCAGGCAGAACTGTGACAATGACAGTCCTAATCACACATCCTCTTAGCTTGCCATGCCACAAACACTCTGGACTGCTGAATCATCTTTTTAAGCCTCCCAAAGTACAAGGTAAGGAGTCATTACTTCTTTCTCAATTAGATTTGAAAAGCAAGTGAGTTTTTATAAGGAATGCTTGAGAATGGCAGAAAGAAAACACTGTTTGTCTGCAGCCCTTCAAAAGATGCAGATACTTCCACATTCTCTTCTCACAGTAATTTCAACAACAGCAGTGCTGACTCGTATTACGCTTCCCTTCCTGCATTCTTGTTACCAAGCCAGCCCATTTGCCTGTGAAGACTAATGGTAGATCAGAGTGAGAAGTGATCCAACTGAAAGCCAAGAGTTTTCCATGCCATCTTGAGTTATCTTTCCAGATATATCTATTCAGTGATTTAGTTCACCATACTGACACAGGAACAGGTAAAATACAGGGCCAGTGAGGTGAGGAGAGAGAGAGCAAGTTTCTTGCCTTGTATAGCAAAAGCTCCTACAGCATACTCTTTTGGCCAAAGATCAGCCATAGCCTAAGTGTACAGATGTAGAATCTTTTCTCTTCTACTTTCCTCAAGACCTAAGCAAATAAACTCAATATGAAGCCATAATTTTATAGGGAACAGAGGAAGAAATTCACCTGTAAAATTCTGACATTTTTATTTTGATATCTAGCTGCTTTACTTCAGCCTTACTGAAGGGGGAGGCAGACAGCTTTAATAGGGTTGTGATGGCTTTATGAAGGAGAATACTTTATCAACCTGACAGTTTTTTGTGATGAGACACACTCAGTAGAAGAGCACAAAGCAGGCATTATTTTTCATCTGTCCTTTAACAAGGTTTTTAACACCAGCTCCCATAACATTCCTGTAGGCAATCTCATGTAGAGAAGTGGACAATCAGGTAGACTGAAAAGTACTCAAATGCTGGATTCACAGTTGCCACTAGTAGCACAAAGTCCACCTGGAGGGCAGCCATTATCTGTCAACCTCAGGACTTGGGCGCTGGCCCCCACTGGTGCAAATGCTGTTTACTGTCTTCACTAATGACCTGAGTGATGGGGCAGTGCCCCCTCAGCAAGTCTGCCCACAATACACAACTGAGAGAAATGGTTGATACAGTAGGTGGGTCTGCTGACACTCAAAGGCCCCTAGACAGCCTGGAGAAACTGCCCACCAGGGATCTTATGAAATTCAGTGAGGGCAAGAGGCAAGTCCTGCACCTTGGAAGAAACAGCTACACGTATCAGGACAGACTGGGGGATGACCATCTAATCAGAGGTGACTCTGAGCACCTGGGTAGACCCTGAAAAATCAGCATGCAACTTGACCTTGTAGCAAAAGCAACCAACAGCAAGTGGAGCTGCATATGAAAAACCTTATCAGAAGATGAAGGAAGGTTATTTCTTACCCTGTGTTCAACCGTGGCTCCAGTTAGGGATTACCCAGTACAGAGAAATATACAGACATATTCAAATTCATATGAATTCAAATTTACAGGGACAAAAACCAAACACAAAAATAGACTTCTCCCTCTCTTCTCCCCTGTCCTTCCTCAACAACAACAAAAGAGTAAGCCAGAACAGGCGTAAAAAGCCTTGGGTTTACCTGAGTGGGTTGAAATTCCTGACAGGCAACTAAGTGTTAGAACTGGGTATATAGGATTTCCCACTTTTGTTATACATTAGGAAGCTTTTGTATCTGTAGTCTACACTCCACCTGTGTTATCCCCTTAAGACCCCCCACAGCCCAAGGCTACAAAAGGTTTTGCTGCTTTCCAGGCATACTTAGCACCATGAAATCAGAGATGGGAGCATACTAAAGCAAGACAGGATCTTTGAAAGTTAAGTCCATACATCCACACACAATTTTTAGAAGTCTGGTAACATTTCCAAGAGTAAATAAACATATCCAGGGGACCACATCAGTAAGAGCATGTATCTGAAACAAACCAAATACTTCAGCTGAAGGAGTTTGGTCCTTGTTTCATGGCTTTTGGGCACCAGCACACTCCAAAGAAAAGGACTGACAGTCTGAAGAAAAAGTCTGAATCAGGACATGATTGGGCAAATAAATCTTTTGCAGATGGTCAGGATTAATTGTAAAAATCCTTACAGTCACACCAAATCACACCTCATCCTGCTCATATTGGTTTAGCTCATAATGAAGGAGTGACTTATCTATCATATGGACTTGATGTAGGAAATATGACATTTTTTCCTCATTTCCTCACCTCAAGAGCAGAAATGCATGGTGAAAACTCTGGTATAGAACAACCACTATAATGCGATAAATTCCCTCATAACTCATGTCTTTCAGCACTCATGCCTGTCACTGCAATTAGCATTTTATCTGTGAGGCTGCCAATAAATAACAAGTCTCATTTGCTCATGTCATTTTTAATGAATGATGAATGACATTTCATCCGTGTGTTGTAAGGTACTGGCAAGAAATCTATTTATCTTACACAGCAGAGCCTCTTCATCTGCTGTTTGCAAAACCTTGACTAGACAGCCAAAAAGTATTGCTTCTCCATCCACTAACTGAAGTACATGAGACAGTTCAAGTATCACAGAATAATAACTGTAGATCTTAAAAACACTGAAAGGTATTAGAAAAAGCAGAAGTCCTTCTCTGCTGTACTTTCAGTTATAAAAAATTCCCTTTTTTATTTATCATGTTACACTCAAAAAATTCCTTCAGCTTTTCACCCACACATTACAAGCATGTGATAGACAAGGAAGAATTCTATGTGTGGCATCTTCTCGTGTGATTTCATAAATTTTGGAATTATGCAGAACCTTCCTGCCTTAATTTCAAGAGTTTAATTCTATTAAGTGATTTTTAATTTCTCAAACCAGACACTGTTGAGTTACACATGGAAAATATTTACTTTTTGCTTCTGATAAATCTATCATGTATAATTGGCATTAATTAGATAAGTCATGGTGCAGGGCAAAGATTATAAACTATTGATAGTACACAAGGAATTACTCCTGCATGAAATAGCAATGAAAAATTCCTTATGCCACTTCACTGTTTATCTGCTTTGCATGTTTGCAGCACTTTCTGGTCAGAGACTGTATAGAAAAATATAAATTTCACCAAATGAAGCACACATTAATTTTTAAATAAGACAGAAAGTGTGACAGTAAATCAGATACCCACCTTGTCAACCAGTGTCCAAAGTCTGGCCGATGAGCCCACTGGACACCTGTCTGATTCAAGGATCGAAGCAGCCGACAGCAAATAAGGATGATCCATGGAGTTGCTAAACTTATCCACTTATCTGATCCTTTTATGAATTCAGATGAAGAGGTGGCCTTGCCCAGTTTTGAATTACTTGCTGCTGGAATGTCTATATTCTTGCACTCGGAGACTTCCCCAATACTATCAAAATTTTGTTTCACACTGGTGCCAAGTTGAGGGTCACATTCTTTCAAAAGAAAATTATTTCTGCAAAGTTCCTGACACAGCACCAAACAAAGTGTATTGATAAGAAAATACCAGGTCTGATGTTCCTCTTCTATAAAACTGCTTGCCCCCAAACTCAAAACATGGCCAATAGTTCCAGCCAGAATCAGCACATCTACTTCTGACCAGCTAGAACTGGACACAGTAGGATTCTGTGGGGGGGAAAAAAAAAAAAAGCAGCAGTGTAAGTTTATAAAAATTTCACTTGTAAGTACTCATAGTGTGCTTACAGCAATTTACAGCAATGAAAACAAAATAAATAGCAGGATAACATATTTCTATCTTAAGAAATATAAAAAATTTATAAAATACTCATTTCAGTGAAGCATACTCAGCACTATAACATAGTAATAATTTTAAAATAATAATAAATTTTAAAGCTTAAAAATTCTGTTTAAGGAATAAAACTCTATGAATAATCATCACAACTGTAGAGATTAAGATTCCCTACCACCCTGTAACAGAAGGTTCAAAGGAAGTTCATGCCCTGTTGCATATTTGTAAAAGTAAAAATAGAAATCCTGCAGAAATCTTGAGATATAGATAAGAGGTAATTCTCTAGTGGTTGAAATCTGTAATATCTTTACTCAATACAGTGATAACCTTCACTAATCAAGTTAACAAAGTTATTGCCTGATGGCACCCCTTCACCTTGCTTAGTTTGAAATGCATCTTTCATCATAAAATCTACTTTCAACCTTTAGCCATCTATTACTTACTTCAGAAACTATGCTTATCTAAAACCACAATATTTTTTGTCTAATACCTTCATTAGCTCAATTTTCTGTTCTCAGCAGTTAATTGGAATTGCTTTACTACCTTCAACAACAGGGCTAAAGAGAAAGTATAAGGGCATGAGGAAGTTTAGAGCCCCCGGTTCATTGTTATCAGGTAAAGAACCATTTCAGCACACAGGGAAAGCCATAAAAAGACTGCAGAGGCACAACCATGATAAGTATGCACTAAGGAAGATCATAAAGATGGCCAAAACTCTTCAGCTGTTAGCTGACAGGCCAACAAGAAACCACCAGCATAGCTCTGCAAGGCATCAGTCTGGACTTCACAACAGCTAAGGGGGAAGTGACAGTGCACGGGTGGTATCTGATAGCACCTGTGGATCTGTACCAACTCATTACGTAGAGCTTCTAGAAAGTCTCAAGGGTGGGGAAGATGGGGAGATGAGGAATATACTGGAAACAGGGGCAAAGTAAGAGGAGAAAAAAGGAAGGATTCCATTACATTACATATAAGCAGGAGCCAGTATACACATCTTTGACCGAGCCCTGTGCTACAGGTCACTGTAGTCCATCCTGTCTCACTAAATTGTATCCTGCCTTCTGTTCCACTCCACTCCCTGTCCCACCTGTGGGTGTTGCAAGATGCCACTGCAAGTAGCTGGGGACAAGCCTGCACATCAAAAACTTGAGACCAGAGAAAATAAAAGCAAGCACCAGAGGACACTGGGACCAGCGGAAGCTTCCTAACAGACCTTAACAAATAGGATAGCATACATGCTTGTGAAGAATTTTGGGAAAGACACTGTCAAAAATCATACATTACTGTTTTATTTTATCTCGTCTTGCACTATTACAGAATATCATGGCGTAACTATTAAACTATATTTTAAGACCTAATAAAAAAAAAGTTTAAAAGCCAGATTGAAATTACTGCATGCCATTTTTACTTCAGAACAAAGATCTCTGAAACTGCTTTCACATTCATTTCTTTAACTCTGTATTTTAACCACATCATCCTCCTACATTTGACCTATGAACAAACTTACAAAAAAATCTTGAATATTCATAGGGATAAATTTCACAGAGAACCTACTAAATTGAAAGATGCACAGTGTACTACAATTCCTGCATGGTTTAAATCATGTTGAAAGAAAATCAAACCAAACTGACCTTTGAACAGTTAACAAGAGAGCAGGTATAAGCAATACAAGTATATCTGAGCATCTTAAATGCAAGCGTCACTTGTGTTCATGACTTACTGACAGCAGCATATGTATTTTTGTTCAATAAGCAAGACAATGTAACACAGAGAAAACAACAAACACATGATGCAAGAAGACAGTTAACATTATTAGGAATTTTGCTTTAGGGAAAAAACTTTTGCAAAATCAAAATTGAATGAGTTGTATGTGAAAGAATGCAGGAACTATAATTAAAATTATGACCTATTCACATCTCTTTCCTTTCTTCTGTTGTTAAAGACATTACATCAAAATAATTTCACTTTTAAAAAACCCAACAACACAAACACACAAACAAAATCCCACAAAACCAGAAGTCCCCATTACACACAACAGTAATGGAGGGGGAAATACTAATAATCTGAAAAAATGTCCAGGTTCAGTCTACATTTACTAGCATTTGAAACTTCTTTGGTTTTCTAAAGACCACTCAGTTTGTTTAGTACTCTATTCTGAAAAGCAAATACCATAAGCTGGTATTTGGAACAAAAGGACAAGGTAGTCTCTCCAAAGACCAAAGAGCATGAAATTCACAAAGCTGAGACAAGAACAGTACATGATGGATCTTCAGCAAGTTTAAATTCCAGTAATTCTATCATGCTGACCTTAAAGATCTTGGCTAACTAAATAAATGAGCATGTAAGCACCATCTGCTTGCAGAGACAAAGGAATCTGAGATCCTAAATAAATGAGAATGAACGAGTCTGTGATATAATTTGTCTTCTTTGTAAGACATAACATAAAATCTATAGAAGCATTGGTCTCTCATATCTAGTTGCTGTCAGCAACTGGTATGAAAACTGAAGTGATGCATTATCAATGGGGAACATACAAAAACCTCATCAAACTTATGGCATTAATGTGAAATGTTCCAGGGTCAGAATTCAGTTATTTCTCACCTGCTTGTATCTCTCAACTTCAGTGAAAAGAAAAAAAAACTACACTTACATTCACATCAAAGGATTCAAATCCAGTGGTGTTTACTGATAAACCACATTTCAGATCCAAGTTAAATCACTATGTAAAATTAAAAATTATTATGCAATTTATAATCTCCTGAGCCTTGATAATCTCAAGAAAATCTGGAAATACCTTCACCAAGGTTTTCTAAATTTACTTCTAATCCCTTATAGACAAACTGTGTCTTATTATGAATGCCATGAGTATGGTGTCATATACATTCTGATCTTAGATTATTTAGATTGCACCTAGTTTTTAGATTTGGTTTAAAGGCATTGAAATATAGGTCTTACTCTGATAATCACAGTGCTGTTTCTCCCACTGCTGAACATTCCCAGCCCTCAGGAACCCAGCAGAAACTCTAGATACTAAAAAACCTGTATGACTCAATTTGGTATCTTAGCAAAAAAACTTAGAACAGAAGCTTTTGTTTAGAAATCTTTAAGTGCCAGGCTTTAAATGATGTAAGCATATAATCTCCCAAGCCAAGGCAGCTTTAACAACTGATGTATCAGCACTAGAATTTAAGCAATAAAAAACTGACCTCTCTGCCCTATCTTTGAACATACCTTGCTAGCTTGCAAAAGTGTCAGTACATAAATGACAGAGTACATGCACCTTTGATCATTAAATTTTGAAACTTCTTCACTTTGAAATAAAACCTGTAGTAGTCTGTGCTCCGAGTCTTATTCCAGTTATCTGGGTTTTTCGTGATTAACCACCTACAGTTAATGCCTGAGAAATTCCACAACTACTTTTCAGATGAGAAGCATTTTCTTCTTCATGTTCACCATCACTCACAATTTAAACACTTATCATTATGCTCCCTTCTGATACTGGAGCTCCCTGAACCCAGTCTTGATTCTCTATGATGGTAACTTTCCCATGACAAAGTACTACAGATCACACTTGTTCCTAGATTTTCAAAGCAGTTTGGGATAATTTTTGAACACTGTCTGGTAAAGCCACCAACCAATCAGCTTTATTCTCCACAAGTCAGAAAATGCTGAAAATATTTTAGGTGCAATTGCATAAAAATGTAACATTGCTCAATTCATCAAGAATATCAAACAAACGAGGAAAACCAAAAATACTGTTAAATGAACAGGTACTTTAAAATAAATGAAAGAAGAACATTTCACAGATGTAATAAAAATCCACTATAATTCTGCATAATGAAAATTCTCAAGACCTCTACTTGACAAGACTTTACTTCTATAATCTAGTTTCAAAACAAACCTGTTAGTTTTTATTTCTATCAGAAACAGGGCAAAAACCCCACAATTAGTAGTAGTAAATACCATGCTTAAATCAACTACCAAGCAATTACAGTGAAACTATGAACAAGAAATTAGAATTTTTAACAATTTTCTGGAATTCATAAAGGGCTGCTGAACTATTTAAAGCCTGAAGTATCATTAAAAGAAGGGACTGGTTCTGCTAGAAACACAGCAATCAGAATCTATAAATAACAGTCAGGAAGCAGATGCTAACACTGCCTGCACTGGTCTTCAGAAAATTCATGAACTTGGTAATCAGTTTCTATATTCAGCCACAGTGGGGGAAAAAAAAGCATTACAAATGAGAAGCACTTCAGAGAAATCTTTAGATGTGAACGGAAACAATTTGAAGGAAAAAAGCTCTGAAGCCATTAACAGGAGCGCTTATCTTAATTACTTTTAAAATACCTACATTTCATCATATAGCTTGAGCTTAGAAAAGGCTTTTGAGCTTCTTTTTAACCAGAAAGGCCAAGATTCGGGATTCTACTCCCACCATCAGAAGACCAGGGCTTCAGAATTCTTTCGGAAGTGGACTCCAAATGCAGATTTGCAATGTGGAGATGCACAGGTTACAAAACACTTGGATTCAGAGGTATTTTAGCATAAGTGGTACTCATAACTCACACAGAAGACCCTTCAAGATCAACACACAGCGTACAAAAACAACCCATTTCTCCCCCAAAATCCAGGCATTCTACTGGAAAGAAGATGAAAGACAGAGATGAATGTTTGGAATGCATCTGCATTATAAGCAGCGCCAGATTTATACACTGCTCCTTTCACTTTCTCCACACTCCGTATTTGTCTAAGCAGACACAAAAAAAGCCCCACCACATCATTCTACAACAGCCCTGAGAGTGGTAAAAGTATCAGAACCAAGTCACTGCTTTTATACATGTCTGGAATGAAGGCACATACTAACTAAACTCACAAAATATTTCAAGCTTTCTTTGGAACTTGAACAGGGACAGAAACGCCTCCCTGACTGATGCGATGAGACACATCCAGTAATTCAGTCACCTATGAAATAGGAGTGAAGACAGGATGACAAAAATGTATTTTTACAGGTCTGAATACAAACAAAACCTCAAATTCTACCTCAAACAGAATTAATCTTGCCTAAACTTCATAAGATATACTTAAGCTTCCCACTTTTTCAAATATATCTCAGGTAGGAACATGATCACAGAACAACCTGGGATGGAAAATCCAGTATTTTTTATTTCTATCTGCCCCAGCCCCGAAAAAAACCAACATACACACAAACCTGGCTGAAAACCTCATTTGTGTATTATCAACTTGAAGCAGATGATCTGAGGGTGAGACACTAGAATGGGCTGCCCAGAGAAGCTATGGATGCCCCATCCCTGGAAGGTCAGGCTAGACAGAGCTCTGAGCACCCTGGTCCAGTGGAAGGTGTCCCTGCCCATGGAAGGGGTTTGGAACTAGATATCTTTCATATTACTTCCAACCCAAAGCACTCTATCATTCTGAGATTGAGACTGTCCAGCTGGAGAAGAAATATATCATCTGTAGTCATTGCTCTCCATGCTATTGAAGTGCCATGTTTGTAAATTTTATGCAGGTCTACAAAACTCATCGTATTTAAATTTCTACTGTTTACCAAAATTAAAAAAACTAGTAACAAGATGACAAGTTTATCTTTCATAGTTGTGTTTCTCTGTCATTGCACACCAAGTACACATGAGATTTCTACACTGGAGCATTAATTATTATTTCAAGGTTATATTCTTCTTCTTCTACAGAAAAAGACCACCTAGTCAGAAATTACAGAAAAAAAAATATAATCTAGTATAGTTTGAATAAAATATATTAGCAACCTGACTTATAAGAATTTAGATTTAAATCTACACTCAGGAATTACAGCACATGTCTGCACAGAGTGCAGAATGAATCTTTACTCAGGAACACTGAAATTTTCTGAATTGTAAGAAATACAGCTGTTACAAAATGTTTCTTCAAGTCATAAAGTTTGCTCTTCTCCTTAACAGAGCATGCTGTCATATCATTAAAGCAATGGATATATTAGCATATTTTGTCACACACTTAAAAAAATGTACTAAACCCCCAAGCTTGATTCTAAGAACATAGTTGATGAAGGACTGTACTGCACAGAGGTTGCACCATTGAATGGAATACTATAGGCAGGAAAGCTATTGAACATCAGGGACTCTTGAAAAATATGACTAACAAGCAGCAGAAAAAACAGCTAGAAGCTGATTTTATGGTGTGACTGACAGCTCTTGGCACACTACATTTCACAGTGGAAGAAAAGACATTGCAAATTTTATTTCCTTGGAATTACCTGTATTCTATTGAACACAACAATAAAACTCATCGAATAACATACATAGAAGGTAACTCCTCACACTGAGAACACTTCGAGAACTCCAAAAACTTTAACAAACTGTATTTCTTAACCTCTAAAAGACAGATTAAATCAGCTCCCTCTATTGCATGCTCAAAACTATTTAAAAAAACCCCAAACATTAATAACACCAATACAAGGAAAGGTAGAGTGGCAAAATATATTCTTCTTAGAGCATTACTGTCTCCTGTATCATCACTGTCCTTTGTGCATATTGTTGTAAATACATCTTGTTTTAATTGCAATTGTGAAACCTAACTATATAAAAGCATACAATTTGTACAAGGCATAACTGTTTCTGATCTCATAGTCAACCGGAAAATATTGTACAGTATTTAAAAAATTTCTTCAAATTATGTCAAAATAAGCACTTCTTAGATCTTCACCAGCCAGTATCATGCCACAGTGACAACAGCACATTTCAGTTATAATTTTAAATAATAATACATATTCATATTACATTACAAATAAGAATTTCTTTAAGCACACACAGAGAAAACAAAATTGTAACTGACAGTATTATGAAAGATAAAAGACAGTATATGAAAGATAAAACATTTTGAATCATAATTAATGCATGCCCTCACCTTCACTGGAAGTCTGGAATTCTCCAAGATCTTTGCTATAGCAGATAAAATACCACACATGAGTGCAGAAATCAGCATCATCACTCCAACTGCTGTTAACCAGGACATACTGCAGAAATAGCACAAACTTTCTGCCGATGTGCATACAATGACATGTACAGCACACAGCATTAGACACATCAAGTAAAACAGCAGAGAGAACAGTGGAGGGGAGAGGGGCACTTCAAATTCTGCTCGCTTACTCAGGGCTTTTGGAACACTGAGCAAAAGTAGTAGCAGAACCTAGAAAAGAAATAGAGGATTAATACTTTAAAAATTTGGGTTAGCTAAAACATACAGTAAGAATTCACACAAAAAATCATGCTGTTGTCATCCACATCACACTGCTAATATGCATACTTTATCAAAAAGAACTCTGAAGAATTATGTTGGATTTCTTTTGCCCCAGTAAGGTATTACTATATAAATGGGAGAACCCAATATTGTCTTTTCATCTATTAAGGGCTCAAATACACGAGTTCCCAGGTTCAATAAATCATCATCTGCCTCTTCACCTGTGGCAACCAATGATATGTATGACCTTCATTCCCTGTAAAAGACCTTGAACTCCCAATATTGAAATAGCTCCTAGGCAAACAAATTTGACCCATTGTCACCTGCAAATGCCTGAAGTTAATACACTCTGTCAAAGGCAGTTTATTTATTTCCTGTATGAGAAATACATATGTATGATACCCTGCTGAGCTAAATAACTTCCCAGACAAGGGGAAGTTCTCATACTATCCAACAAGTGTATGCTGAATTTCTAGCTTACTAATTCTCACAGTATTTACTTCTTGTTTCTCTCTTTATCTTAATTTAATTTATTGCTTTTACTTTCTTGGCTCTGACCTGCACACAGACAAGGCAGAATTCCAAGCTTCCTCTTATGTAACTGTAGCAGCAGAGATGAAAAATAAAATGAAACTTTCTGCTACTCAGATACAAACCTTTACCAAAAAGTGGGAAACTTCAGCCACATGCTAAAATGGTTTGCAAGCTGCAGAGATGGAGCTAGGACTAGACTGACCTCAATCAGCTGGTGCTAGAGCTAGATTAAAACAAATCAAAACAAAAACAACTATATCAGACTACTGTCAACCTGTAATCTTTCACTGTCACTTGCAAAAAACTGCAGTGAGACATAGTATAGTAGAAAAAAAAAAACCAAAACAAAAACCAACAAACAAATGCTTTGCAATAGTCTGCTACTTCTTTATATTCTACTGCATATTTCATCTGGTTATGCAAATATGCAGTTTTGAGTATCATACTGGCTTAAGTATTATATTTCAGCCCATCACTCAAAATTTAAGCTAAAACTTATGGCACTCATGGCAGGAAAACACTCAAAGTGTAGATATCTACCAAGCTAAACTTAGGACTTTGGAGCAAATGCACTGTTACCAGTTCATGTCTCAGAGGTATTCCTCTCAACAGAAATACAGGATAATTGGCATTTATAGCATGGTGTAGTTTGAAGCAATATCTGAGTTTCTCTAGTCTTATTTATTCAGTGAAGGTGGAAAATCAATATCTAGACAAAAACATTTTGGAAAGCAAGGCAGTTTCTTGAGTATTGCACTGGAGAAAATAAAAAACTCCAGCCTTTTTGCTGGAATCTTACAGTTATTCTGAGCATACACTCCTAAACAGAAATTCCTGTGGTTAGTAGCTGCATTTTCTTTGATGAAAGTTGATTGCTTATAACACCTAAGATTTGTTTTCCAAAAATAGCAAGCATCTGTAGATTCTACATTCCAGAAAAAAAAAAAAATCCAGTGCTTCAGATCTAAAGTAACTCTCAACAGCTTGAATGCATAGGTTCTGAAAACAAAGGAACAAAGAAAGATATGCACCTTCAGCTTTGCACTGAACTTTGTCCACCTCCAGATCTTCCATCTGTAGAGCAGGAACAGAACCTACCATCTCATCTACCCAAGGGTACCGTGGAACTCATTCCTGTGAAATGACCAGCAGAGTGACAAACCCTACTGAGCAGTCTACCAGAAAGCCATTTCAGAAGCACTCTGTATGCAGAGAGCAATGCATGGGAGACAAGGCACAGAGCCCAGACAGGACAACGGAGATTCAGCACTTGAGTTTTCCCCATAACCTCAGCTGGAAAGATCCACTTAAAATTAAAGATATGGTTTATTATCTTATCCTTACAACTACAGGAGATATGAAGAGGTAATCCTACAGCAAGTATTTATTTCAGGGCTCTAGATCTATCAGTACGAGGAACAATTCCTGGAAATCTGAAAATTTTCCATATAAGGTATTGCTTGTTTGGAGCAGCTATACTCAACATTAGATAAAGAAAAACAGCTAAGGATTTACTTTCCAGACTTTTTTTTTCCCTAATGCAGTAAAGCTACTCAAAAATAGAAGGCTAACTAATAGGGAAATAAGTTAAGTTGTAGCACATCTGCATCTCTACTATAGCTACCTACACTAAAACGTAACTAATTTGTATCAAAAGCTGTCTTGAATCATTTTGGAGGCCAGATTTTATTTTAAAAGGAGCATTAATCTTATCCAAGCAGGATGTCAGCCAACCCTAAGAACCCACACTCAGTAATTTTAAAGACCAGTATGTGTATACATTACATATCCAACACCAAGATACTTTACTTTAGTGCAATTAACTTTTTCACAGAAAGTTCTATTTTCATACCTCCATAATGATCACAGTCCCCACCATCATTGAATACATGTCATATTGTGCCACTTGTTTGCTTAATGAGGAACTCAAAGTCTTGAGGGCCTCCAGGTATTGCTTCAGGATCTTCTTGCCAAGATTTAAGAGTATTTCTGAATTGTTCCCCTCTAAATACAGTTTGATCCAATTACCATGGGATTTTTCTGCTATCTTAAAATATTCATATCCAGGATCTGGAGAGAAGAGGAAAAAAGAAAAGAAGCAAGAGGAGCCATGAATAAAGAAAGATTACTTGAAGACGTGATCATATTTTTGTATTTGCTTGTATAGTTAATAAAAATATATAATTGCTATGGCAGTTGAAAATTTTTTCACAGGTACAAAATTACACTATCTTTATCTTCCTGCAGCAATACCAGTTACTTGGAATAAAAGCAATTAATTATAACCTAATAAACTGTCAAGACCTCTAACAATTGAAAAACTCATTTTAATAGCCATTCATTTTTACAAGGAGTTTCTAGGATAAACGATTCTAATGCTTCAGTTACTGTGGGGGAGGGAAGAAAGCAATGCTGTCCACTGGAACTACTCATCATCCAGAACACACTGTATAAACTAAGTAGGAAATTATCAAATAGCTGATGTCAGGTCCAGTGGAGGGCAACAAAGATAATGAGGGGATTGAAGCACCTCTTTCATGAGGAAAGGCTGTGGGAGCTGGGCCTGTTCAACCTTGAGAAGAGATGGCTGAGAGGGGACTTCATCAATGTCTGCATGTATCTGAAGGGAGGGTGTTAAGAGGATGGAGCCAAGCTCCTCTCAATGGTGCCCAGCAATAGGCTGAAGTCTGCCTGTTGACAGGAGGCAACACAGGAACACAGGAAGTTCTAACTAAACATGAGGAAGAACTTTTTTTACTCTGTGGGTGGCTGAGCACTGGAACAGGTTGCATGGAGGCATTGCAGATATGCAAAAGTCATCTGGACACATTCCTGAGTAATGTGCTGCTTGAGCAGAGGGGTTGGACTAGATAACCTGCGCGACCCAGTCCTACTTTACCTAATCTGTGATTCTGCTTTTCAAATATTGGTCATTAAACACAGTATGCATTCAGAACACAAATTCAGTTGATAGCACATGGAAAGCAAGAGTGTTACTTCAGAAACTCGTATCTCACTGGAAGTTATGCTATACATGAATATTAAATTTATCTGCATTTTTCTGAAAAAAAGATGTTTAATTTCACTTCCCATTAATAGTACTTGATATTTCCCTGCAATTTCAGTTGAAAAGTAATGATAAGTATAAAACATGAATTTGGAAATTTTTATATAACTTGCAGTTCTTCCCTTCTTAGCTGAAAGTGGGGTGAAACATTTTCTGTACAGTTTCAGACAAGAAAGATTAAAACAATGACTGAAACAACTCTGGTGTCACAAAAATTTAAGTTACAGCTCTTTTTCAGTCCTTGTAAATGAATAGTAGTGTATTCTACTTGGAAAAAAAACCACTTTATTTTTTGTTAAGCCTTTTCAGCAAAAGTACATAATTAATTCCAGAAACATTTGAAATTTTATTTCAAGTGAATGAAGGTGAATTAAGTATTTCTATTCACAATTTGTATAGTCATGAAAGAATCGTGCTTACTATTTGCAAGTCTCTTACCATACAAGACACTTCATCATCTACTGTGGGCTGAACTCAAAGAGAATTTTAAAAGGCAATGTTTAACTCAAAATGTCCAGTTTTCCCAAGACTTCCAGAAGACTCCAAGACATGCTGACCCTGTTATGCAGAGGGTTTGCAGGGATCTGCTAGAAAGTACAATCCAGCCAGCAACAAAGAGCTGTATATCAAGATAGATGCCAGTGCACACAGAGGATTTCATTTCTTCCCTGTAATTCTTTTAACTTCCCTATAAAGTTTCTCTTCCAGTATATTTGAAATAAGGTTAAATATTCATATGTTTGAGGACATCCATAAAGGATCATCCAAAATGAGCTTTAATCAAACTGAGATTTGACAGGACACTTTTTCATTACACAGAAGACTGAAATGAGTTCAAGATATATTTTGAAATATAAATAAATTCCCTCAACATCTTCTGCTCCTGTTCTGCTCCATTTTACTGACTCTTGACTAGACTCCCTCTTCATTCCTTCTAGCATTTTTCTTTCATCCTCATCTACTTCTTTCCATGCTAACTGTTCACCAAAACCATTGTGTTCATGTTATGAAAGATGACTTTTAGTCAAACCCTCATGAATTAATGACTTCACAACCTTGCAGACAGGAATAAAATACCATGGTTCACAAATTTTGTTTGAGAACTCCAGTTATATTGGTTCAGTGGCACATTTATATGCAGGAAGCATAAAATAAGAAGGGTCATGGACACTAAGTTGCTGGAGAAGCATTTTGGTAACAGGCAGGTAATATTGGTAAGTCAGTCCCATATGGGATACTTACAAGACAAGTCAAAATAGAAGCAAAATCCAAAGCAAGCTTGCCAAGCTTGCATTTCCCAAAGCACTGGCAATGTTTTACTTGCAAAGTATTACATTAGCAATTTGTGCTTCAGCCTCACTACCATCTTATCACAACCAAATAGGCAAGAGTTGCAAGCTTCTGTTCAACAACAAATTCAGTTCCAGTCACAGGCAGCAATCATTTAAAAAGAATTATAAGGAAAGAATGAATAATGTAAAAGTGACTTCTCCAGTTTCAATATATAAACGTCCCAGTAAAAGTCAAATTATTTCAATCTAATACAAGTTCAGGATGAGTCCCAAATGGAAAAGCTTGCACTCATTTTAATAACACCACCCAACTTGTTCTCAAGCACGACTCTTCATTCCACTGTAAAATGTCTTTCAAAGGTCCTAGTTTATAATTCAACTACATGTCCAGAAGTTCAGAACACAAGGGAAGCATTGCTAGATACCTAGGCCTGTCTTTCTTACACTGAGGTATGAACTTGCTCAAAAACCCAAAATGTCTTTTTAGATACATCTTTTTTCAGCTTTGTAATTTTTGCTAGCTATTTTTATTCTTATTTTTCAGACTTTACCTGCATGTATCCACATCTATCAAAAGAAAAGCTCATGCCTCACATTACAATTTATTAGCATGTTTCAAAAAGATGTGTTTTAAATAATAAAGCCCTTAGTCAAGCTTCAAGTTTCTCATGTAGAATTTAATTTAACTGAGGATCAGTTTAAGTGTGAGGATTCTTCTGTACTTCAATAAAGGAAAGCCCAAGTCCCATTAGAGGGTGTAAAACTTCTTAGTTTGAAAATGATTGTTTATATGAACAAACACAGAAGGGAAAAAAGTTACTGACCTGCCTTCATTCTGTTCTTTATTTATTAACAGGTATATTTAAAACACACTTGAAGATGAAAAGATATTTTTATGTACTCTTACCATTTGCTTTTAACACTGGAGCAGGTGAATCTATGGCTTCTTTATGAAACAGCTTGTAAAGGTCATTCTGCCTTCCCATCTGACTGTTACTCAACTCAACTGATATCTGTCTTCATCTCATTGTGTTAAGAAGGAAACTAATATTCCACCAAAAATGAATGCATATTTTATGATACAGCTTAAAATGGGTAAGTCTTTTCCTGCCATGACTGACTTAATCATCATCCTCATGGTACCAACGTTGTGCTCTAACCCCTGTGCTGTAAATTACAGCACTGGAGAAGAATGCCATGTTTTCCCCTTCTGCAGAGCTTACTGATTTTGACATCAAGAGTTCAAAATTTTGTGTTTGGGTTTTTTTGTGTTTTTTTTTAAAAGCAGCAAGGCTTATGCTATCCTTGCAAGCATTTTCAAGAATGCCTTTCACCTTAAACTGAAGTTCCAGTCATAGGCATTTTTCTTAGCATTGAACTGAAATGTTATGGTCCACTAGTTGTTACTAGCTGAGAATCTGCATTAGAAAGCTTGAAACTGCAGCATCAGTTTCAATGAGTGATGTCCAACTAAGCAAATGTGAATGACATCCAACTGATTCCAACTATGTTTTGGGCAGCAGACCTTGTTGGTGGAATTCAGAAATTATGTACCCTGAGAGCTGTCAATATAACTCTGATAAGTGTTCAGATGTTCAGCAAATGAAGATCAAAAGGTTCTGAGCAGGGTGAGCTAAAGAAGACTGCTCAGATCTGTGTCCAGTCAGTTCTTGAATGTTTACAAGTAGGAAGCCTCCACAACCTTTCTTCCTAACTCTATCTAGTGTTTGACAAATCCTAAAAAAGTTTCCCCCAAATTTTTTGTGAGGACCACCATTTAGACCCCAGTTCCATCTTTTCTATTCCCTCCCATCACGTATTACCTATATTGGTAAGACCCCTCCTGAACAGTCCTAGCACACTCAGTCCCTTCTGATATGACAGATGTTCCAATCCCTTCATCACCTTCATGACCATGCTCTTCACCCACTACATTATATTCACTGAATTACGGTACTGAGAAGCCCAGCACCAGACCAAAGACTCCTGATGTCTGCTCACCACAACTGATACAAGAGGCAGGATTGACCAGCTGATGACTGTCGTCCTAATGCCACCATGGATGCTACTGCCCTTCCTTTGACAAGGGCGCTCTGCTGCCTGATGTTCAATTTTGTCACCCCATGGTGGTTCTTCCAGCTGTTTCCAGTCAGTCAAAATCCAATCTGCACTGGTACATTGGGATTACATCTTCCCAGGTATAGGATTTGGCATTTCCCTTTGCTGAACCTTTAGAGGTGTCTGTCAGCCCATTTCTCCAGCCTGTTGAAGTGCCTCTGAGTGACAGTAGACCCACCTACTGCATCAAGCGCTTCTCCCAGATTCCTATTGTGTCCTTCCCTTGCCGAGACACCACTTTGTCCCACTGGCCAGATCAGTGATGAAGATGTTAAATAGTGCTGGCTGGAGTCAAGCCCTGTGGTTGATCACAACAGTTTTCAAGAGGACTTTGTGCTGCTGATCACATGCACATGTGAATCCAGCAGCTTTTCAGTCCATCTCACTGCCCAGTCATTTAGCTTGAAAGGCAACAGGATGGCTGAAGCACTACATGAGCACCACGGAAGGTGAAGGTAGGACTTCCTCTAGCTGTCCGAAAACCTACAAATTACAATCCAACTGTCTGCACTAGACACCCACACAATATTGCCCAAGTTGATCTGTGCACTAATCCTGAGCTAGAAGTTCTCAACTATTTCATCATCCACTCCCAGGCACAATTACATGCCAGCCACCACTCTCTCACATAAAGATTGATTTTCCCTCACATTCCCAACTTTACAATCTTAGAATTCTAGAATTATTCAGGCTGGAAGACTGCTTTTAAGACTATCTCATTCATTGCCAGCACTGTTAATGGAGACATATTTTGCTAGATCATCACCCATTATTGGTTTCCAATTAGACATTAAGCCACTGACTTTACATTTACATTTACACTTATTCATTACAGAGTCCATTTGTCAAACCCTATCACTCCAACGGCAGCAGCAGAAATGTTCAAGGAGGCTTTACCAAAGGCCTTACAGAAACCTAAGTGGATGACACATCTTTTGTCCACTGATGCATTTACTCCATCAGAGAAGGACACTAAATTAGCAGGCACAATTTGCCCATGGCAAAGTAGTGTCAGTTGTTACCAATAACCTTTCTATCCTTCACGTGTTTTGATATGTCTTCCAGGAAGATCAGTTTTGTGAACTTACCAAGCACAGAGGTGAGGCCGACTGGCTAAGCAGTTCCCAGGATCCTCCTTTTTACCATTGTTAAAAAGAGGTCAACTTCTTGAACATGATTCAGATTACTTAATATAATAACTTCTCTGCTAGGTAACCTCTTTCTAGGGGAATCCTAACAGATGTGTATGTGCCTGTAGTGGGAGGGTAGTTATCTTCACTTAAAAGCCATGCAAAACAAATAGCTATTCATGCATGCTCATATTAGTCACTAAGTTAGTGACATTGTCTTTTAGTATTTCTAAGCCTGAAGTATCCACATCAATCAAACAACACTAAACAAACAGAACGTATTGTTTCCCTGCCAGTCTTAAATGAACAGACATTAGCCTATAGCCTTGCACATCTAGGACACTCTAAGAAAAACAAGGTTCCTCTCTGAAGTCCACACCAACACAGGAAATTGACATTAAGACTGTAGAAAAAGCTACCATGACTTGGACCTAGACTTGAACCGTGTTATTGAAACTTTCCAGTACTGAAAGGAGATAAAGTCATTTGGATGCTTTGCCTCCCAAACTCTTTCCAGTAAGGCAGCATTTCTAATAAGTTTGCAACCACAAGCAAACAGCATAAAAGATTCTCACATTTTTATCCTCAGCAATTTTGACTTTCATTTCTCATATGAAAGCTACAAGTTGAAATTAAGCTGTTCTGAGACGAAAAATAAAACTGAAATGGAGATATAAATCAGAAGCTGGTAGAAATTCCAGTTTGTTTCATCAGTGTTTGCAGAAATACTCTAAGATGGAGTTTTGTGATGGCATTTTCAACAATACAGTCATATCCTGAAACCCCTCAACAGGGCAAGTTCCTCACTTGACACAATTGGGTTGAGTGAAATCTGTGCAGAAAAAAAATGCCAGAAGAGATGAAGCATGAGTCCTGCTGTAGGCATGTTGCGGCAACAAATGGAATTTATTCTGTTGAGATTCCTGGACAAGGTTTAATTATGATTAGGAGCTGTGATGTTGAAAGATAATTGATTCTTGACCTAGAATTATCATTTTGCTAAAATTTACGTTGCTATCCACTTTAATTATTCCTAGCTGTAAAACAACTCTGCATTCTCATCTAGTTACTTTAATAATTCAACAGATTATAAATCAATTGATAAGCTTCACAGTCACTTTAAGACAACATCTTCTAATGTCAATGGTAAAATATTCTTCACCCTCTGACACAGTTTTTTTTCACAAAATTATCATATTAACTTCATTATTTATACTGCAATTTTTATCATGTTTCCTAATGAAATACCACATTTTGCTAGGTTTGGTTTATTTTTTCTACTTGTTTTTTATTCTTTCCTCCAAATACACACACATACACTTACTTTTAATAAGCACTTCTCTAGGTTCTCATTCCAAGTAAATACATAAAAATGAAATTAAAAGAAAACTTACCCTAAATTATATCCCAGCTTTGCTTGAAGCATCTTTTTATTTAAACTAGAAAATTCGGTCCATTGTGTTAACTCTCCAAATAGCTCAGAGTTAGTGCCCTATATAGGACACCTCACAAAGAGCAGTTATGAAACCACTGAGATTTAACTACACTGGCAGTTTTACTTTAATCTTACTCCATCATTATTTTTGCTCTTTTGCCAAAAAGGAATAATAGTAGTCATTAAAAAAACTGTATTCAGAAGCAGTGTATCAAAGTAGGTTGCATTAAAAATTGAATTCGGTACAGTTGTTCCAAATACTGCTCTCAAAAGAGTAGCTAATTTGCAGTGCAATGCCATACTATTGAATTTAGAAGACCAAACTGCTTTATAAACAGTATATCTGTAACATTTTTTTAGCTAATTTACCTTTTTCATATGCAGGTGTATTCTCTTGCAGCAATCTGCTAAGCTGGAACCCATTCAAGTGCATGAAACGTAGCTGTTCTCTCATTGTCTTGCCTCCAACAACTGGCAATATAAGGTTCCCAACACTGTTTCTTGAAATTGGAAGGCCAAGACCTATTGCCAATGTGCTAGCTAAATCTGTTTGCTGCACATGTTCAGGTTGGGCTAGAGGAGCTAGAATGAACAACAACAAAAACAGAAAAAAAAAATCAAATAAAAAGAGAGAGGAAAAGAAGTATTTCAATAACAGGCCCATTCTATCCCATTCTATTTCTCCAGAGACAGCTGGCACCTTATTGTTTCATTGGTGTTAGATCAGTTATTTTAAGTGGTCTGCAGAGAGCTGACTGATCTTTTTCAGCTGCTATTCTTTGCTGCTGTAAATCCAATATTTATTAAATTCTTAGCCAGCACCACTCTTCAATGCTAACAACTACCATAAACACAATATAAATGTTATACAAGTAAAAGTACAAAAACAGATGGTCCAGGACATCACCTTAATATCAAGTTGTAGCCTAAGAGAGTTTCATAACTTTTACATTAGAAATAATAGAAAGCACTACAGTAGACTAATCTAATGTATTAACAAAGAATGAGAATCTTAAATAATGTTGACAGGATTCCAGAAACTTCACAATGTAATGACAACAGCTCAAGATTTAATTAATACCAGGTGGCTAGGCAAACAGAATTAGACAAAAGAATTAGAAAGAATGTTGAGGCTCAAAATCCATGGCTATATCCAGGCAAACCCAGTGACTTTTAAAGGATCCTGTGTAAGATTCCACTAACTTACTGCAGTTACCAGGATTAGCCTTCAGTCCCACAGAAATCTACAGACATGAATGATTTTATTAACACAGGTAACTTCCTGTTTTTAAACTGTTTTGCTAGCTGTTTCTTTTTGTGCTAAACTAGTTAGGCAATGGTAGTTTTCTATTATGATTTTATTTCATCCTTTTTGAAACTTCAGGTATTCAGTGTTTTGACTTAAATGCAGTATATAGTAAGAGTTCTATACAGTCTTTATTCCTCTCAAAGCTCCTTTTAAGAGCCTTAAAATTTCCCTCATTTCTCATCTAGCTCTGATTAATCCCATACTTGTACAGAATGCCATCTATAATCCATAAAGCCTCTTTGCATGAGTGCCTGTATGTCAGCAGTTTTCAGATTTTATCTTTAAAGGCAAGTTCTTAACTGGTTAAAAAAAGCCAAACTACCAAACACATTTAGCCAATCATAGATGACACATCTCTATAGAAGGCTATACAAGTAATACTCTGACAGCATACTAAATGGAAAAAGCCCACAGGATTACTATTTTGAGGTCTACCAAATTAACTACAGTACATTTTGTTTACAGTAGGATCATAAGAAGCAGTCACTAGAATCCTGATTACTGTACCAATCAAAAGTAAACTGCTGGATATTTACAAAGGCATTAGAAATCAAGAACTGCGTCCCAAAAGACAGGTAAATAGATATATTTCACTGTATTGTAAAAACTGCTCATTCAGTTTAAGCCTCATTGAAACTAATTCCAATGAGCAGAAGACTGCACTTACAGAATCTATGCTCTTCCTGGCTGTCAACACATGCTAGTGAAATTCATAAAATAAAAATTTAGCCAAGAGCTTTGATGCACTCTTAACTTTGTTTTGTTTACAGACCTGAGAAGAGATCAATGACTCCTCAAGTAGTGCTTTCTATTGCAGCTCAATAACAACTTTCCAAACAACAGAAAAATCTACCTCCACCATGCTGCAGGAACCTCCAACAAGATAAATAAATCAAGGTTCTGCACACAGGTTTTAGAAGAAAAGAAAGCAGATGGAAATGGGCAAGTGGCAGAATGAAAGGCAGAAGGGAGAATTATTTTGGGGAAAATATTCACTCTTGGTATAACTACATTCTGGCGAGTCACTCAGTCAAGGAGTTTAAGCACAACTCTACAAAATAGACTAAAGATTCTCTACCACTCCATTTCTTCACTGCATCCTAACTATCTGGCTTTTATATTTTACTATCCACATGTAGAAAATCAATCAGCTTCAGAAACATGTAAACTCACATCAATGATATAAAATTAACCAGCCCATACAGTAAACACACTCATGATCCATATTCCATCCTTAAGTCTTAGTAATCAATAGTCATGTTATCAGTGCCATCACCTCTCACCCTTTCACAAAGGTCAGATCAATTTAATGTTAAAAATATAATCCTCTTCCTAATAGTCTCTAGCCTCCTAAGTGCTGTCTTCTTCCTTCATGTTAACTCTGTGTGAGAAATTGTCATTCATTCCTCTATCCTAGCTGTCTGAGAGGGAAGAATGGAGGCCAAGCAAATATTCTGGCCATGAAAGAAAAATTGAAACCTACTTCACATATGATTTTGCGTCTACACCTATTCATTTACCATTAGCCCAGTATCCAGACAACAGACCTCATTTACTCTCAGAATTCAGGGCAGGGCTGTACAAGACTATCATCTCAGAAATATACCAATTCTCTACAATGCTTGATTCATGGTCTCTGCAAGATACAGATGTTCACTTTGGCTGAGTTTTGGATTACACAGAACGGGTTTTCCCAAATAGCTGTAGAATAAACCAAAGCACTTTTCAAGAAGAATTCTAGACTATATAAATAAGAGTTGCCAGTGTGTTCTTGTCCTGGTTTCAACTGCAAGAGAGTTAATTCTCTTCCTAGTATCTAGTACGGGGGCTTTGTTTTGGATTCAGTATAAGAATAACGTTGATAACACACACTCAAGTTTTAGCTGTTAGTAAGGAGGGCTTACTCTAAATCAAGAACTTTTCCACTTCCTGTGGTCTGCCAGGGAGCATGAGAAGCTAAGAGAGAATGCAGTTGGAGCAGCTCTATGGTATGGACTATTCCTTCCACTAGTTCAGGTCAGCTGAACTAGGTGAAGGAATAGTCCATATCATACAGCGTTGTAGCCAGTACACAAAGTGGAGGGAGTTGACTGGAGGCGGTGGATTGCTGCTTGAAGGTAGGATGGGCACCGATCAGCAGGTGGTGAGCAATTGCATTGTGAATCACATGTTTCCCTTGGGTTTTATTCCTCTCCCTCTCCTAGGTTTTATTCCTCTCTCTTTCCCCTCTTCCCATTACAATAATTACTATAATCTACATATAATTATTATTGCTGTTCTTGTTACATACAGTAGTAATGTTCCCATCCTATTAGAGTACACTATGCACTGGTATCTACTGGAACCTTACACCAAGTACCACAAAGCCACTCGGTCACTCACAACACCCATCCTGGTGGGGAGGAGAAAGAAAAGGTAAACCTCATAGGCTGAGTCTAGAACAGTAATAAAATTAAATATTATTATAATAATAATAATAATAATAATAATAATAATAATAATAATATTGAAAAGGAGACAAGGAGAACAAAAAAAAACAAACAAGAGAAACAAGTGATTCACAATAAAATCTGTCACCAACTGCTGATGAATGTCTAGTCCATCCCTGAGCAGTGACTGGTAGCCCCAGTTTACATACTAGGGATGATGTTCCATGGTATGGAATATCCTTTGGCCAGTTCAGGTCAGCTGTCCTTGCTATAGTCTTTAATGGCTCCTTTGGCACCTGCTTAATGGCAGAGCATGGGAAACAGAAAAGTCCTTGATTCAGAGTAAACATTAAAGCACCAGTGTGTCATCAGCATCATTCTCATAATGAATCAAAAAAACAGTCCTGTACCAGCTACTAGAAAGAAAATTAACTCTATTCCATCTGAAACTGCGACAGTTCTAAAAATGCTTCTTTGATCCTTACCACTTCTCTTCTCAAAAGCAGAGCTGATAAACAGCAGCGGTGTGTGCACTTCTCCTTCTGAAGAACCACCATGACTGCCTGTTTCAGACATCCCATGATCCCCACAAACAACTAACAAATTGGGCAGAGAAGCTTCCTCCTGTAAATCATAGAAAAAAATATAAGTTACCATACAAACACAATTCATTTATATAATTTCACTATCTTCATCATTTTCAAACATGATACGTCTCAAAATTAATTAAGTTTTGGAAACTTGCTCACTGTGGGGCAGATAACAAGAGACAGATGCAATTAAGTGTAACTCAGTAATAGTAATTTTTAACAGTTAAGGCACATTCATATCTAACACACTTGTCAGTATCTTAGCAAAAATAAAGCATAAAATAAGCTTAAAAAAAACAAACAAACCTGAATTTACAGAGTTACAAGAAACTCTCTGAAAGATTAAAAAAAGGTTATCACACCATGAAAAGAAAATCAAGAGTACCAGAAAAGCATCATTAACACAGAAATATTCCCCCTCTTTGTTTCTTCAGCTTCACTAGCTTTTAATATAGTTGCTGAATTATTGATACTGTAAATATTAACATAATATCAACTCAATATTAAAAAGTAATCCTATTTCTAACAGGATTTCTAGTTTCCCAAGGGCTTTAGAGGTTGAAATCTGACTGATTTGGGGTTGAAATCTGACAGTCAATGAAGACTGTCTGTTAATGATTGTTGAAGAATGATGCTAAATGACGTGTATGTTTCTGAATAAAGAGAAACAGAAACTTAAAATACTTAAAGTGAGGTCTGTCCAAGAATTTTGAGCTAACAAATCAATGTGGCAGAAAATTAACACATTCAACAACAAAGTAGCTTTTTATTATCTCTAGTTATTACCAGTACTATTCTATCCAAAAAATAAAGTGAATAAAGTGCTTTTATTATGTCTGTATTCTAAAATTGAGATAAAGGCTTGAATTTAAATGGAAAAAGTAAAGATACCAAAAAAACAGCAGCAAAACAACTGTAACATTCATACAACTTAGACACACAGGATTTAACCTCTTTTCATGAAATAGTATCCACTTGACTAAAAATACTATTGAAATTTCAGGATCAGCTATTCTGAATTGCAGTAGCCAAAACCAAACAATTAAATAAGTTTCATGCCACCTGGAACTAGGACTTGATATTTCAGAATTCAGACTCCTTAGGTAAGCAATAACTAGTATTTACAAATCTAAAAACAGATTCAGATGTGCTACATTCACCATGAAAAAAATGCAGATTAAGACTACCACATCCATTTGAATTTATCAAATATCTAAGAATTAGGTATGCCTTCATAATTCTGGGCATCAGAGCCATTAGCTATACATGCCCATTACTCCTTCTGCAGAATTTCATTACTAGAAAGCATACCAACAATCATTTTAATTCACAAGTGATGCGAGAATTTTGGCAGGCATTCCTCTCCTGTTCCTGGACACCAAGGGGGTGTTATTTCCCACAGCTGCCCAAAAGAGGCTGTTAACAGATGTTACTAAGGTCAGCCACCAAATCCTTAAAAATGCTACACTAGGAAATGGCCCAGGAAGGCAAAGAACAGAATACACACTTCAGTCTATGAATAAAGAAGGTACTAACAACAACCAGCAAGCATTTAATTGTCAGTCCACAACTAAGAGATACTGACCCAAGAGGAAGCTGTATTACCTTTGAAAGAAGGGAAATATGAATCTTCTTCAATATGTTATCCATTTCACGAAGTTTTGGTCCCACTAATGGGCTGTTTGGCCCAGTCATATGACCAATATGGTCCAACCCCAGGTAATGCAGTATTAGCAGATCCCAGTCTTCTCTCTTTAACACTCTATCCAAATGTCTGGTAACATTATCATCAACCTCAAAGAAAAGGAAAACAACTACAAGGTAAAAAAAATCCCTCTTGTAAAAAGCACAAGAAATTAACTACAGTACCCATGAAAATTCCATTGAAGTTGATGAAATTACGCAATGTTATAAGAAAAAAAACTGAGTAGTTCATTGTCAGGCAGTCAAATATATTTGTATTATAAAATAAATTCTTCACCCCATTTAATCTTTTCTGGTAAGGATGCATCAGATTACATACAGACAAGGCAAATGGGTTGCAAAGCTTCCACAGAAACTTTTAGAAACTGTTCCAAGAGCTTTTCAGTCACTTTCGCCCTTCACACCCCAGTTTATCACTTCACACGTGATACATTAAATATCACAAGAACAACAAAAAGTCTCAGTTTAGTGATGGGAAGCTCAGGGGTACAACAGACCCTAATTTTTCAACTCTGTTTTTGCTAGTGTGCAAACACAAGAAGATTGCACTTGCTGTGAGTAAAAGAACTGATAACATAGTGAGAAAGAAAAACTATTTGAAAAGTGCTATTTGGGGCCTAACTCACCTCTTTTCCTGCTTAGGTTGACAGTACATCTTTAGTTGCATATAGTCTCTTCAGTTATTAGAAATCCCTTCAGTATTTCCCGTGTGATACTACTTCGTTGAGTCTATACATAACTACCAAAAAAAACTATAAAGAACTGTGTGCTTAATACACTACATGAAGGCAGTATAAAGAGCTTGAGAACCACATAACCACAGATCCAGTAGAACATTTGTACTTTTTACTCCAGGTTAAAGCTTTTGCATGTCTTATCAGCATAACCAATCAAATATGTCTTCCAATTCATGTTTGACCTTTGTAACTTCCTCAAATAATAAAATACTTCAGACAGTAGCAGGTCAATGGCTTGAGGTTTTAGAAATAATAAAGGTTCAAAAATGAAGTAAATTTGCCAAAGCATTTACTCTTCTAATGTGCCCAGAGTAAGAATTTTCAGAATTCGTTTCATTTACTTTCTGTGCTCCCTCTTTGACAGCATAAAGAAACACCACCCCCATTGCAATTACAAAAGTGATGCAATAGTATGAAAGTACCTCCAAGAGACCAAGCTAACATATTAATGGACCTCTTAAAGATTGCACTAATTAAAAATATGATAGCAAACTGAAAATTTTTAAACAAAGCAACTAGTCTCTTCCAACCACAACAAGTTTTGTGAGAAAATGGTATGTTTAGCAGTTACAGAATGATAAATTGACGATCACTGTATCATCCCAACACTTTTTACAGCATATGCATGAGGGATTGAAATGCTTAGCTTTACAGTGCCCACACCAAAAAGACATACAAATTCAATTTCTATCTATTGACAGGTGAACATTTCAGAACAAGGGCAGCTTTACTCACTCATTCTCAGAAACTGATACTGTTTGTTTGTGCTCACTTTATTTAACTTGGAATCATACAAAGCCTCTCACCTCTGTAAAGTCTGACACAAAAAATGATGTTGTTCCATCATATTCCACAAAGTGCTTTGGGAACAATTTGACCCAAGTATCATCACCATAAAATATTATTCTTTTCCCAGCTGTTTTTGCTTGCCATATCAGATTGTCATCCAACAGAGCTGGAGAATTGAGGTTCACAACAACATCGATGAAACCAGGTATGCTACCTGTCATCAAAGCCTAATAAAAAAAGAAAAGTGACACATTAAACAAGAAACTTCCAGTGCTCAGAAGACAGTAGCAATGTAAATGGGAGGAAGCAATAAGCCAGATGGCAGACAAATTATATTTTTGATAAGGAAACATAACAAAGTAAAAGAACACAAGCTGTCTTGTCACATAACCTCATCTGACACAACGAAGTGCTAGCTGATGTCAGAGATAACTGCTTTAGAGAAGGTAAAAATATCACTGTCTAAATTAATGGACAGAAAAAAAAAACTTTCTGTGACAGTTGACGTTTGTTTCATTTACTGGTCGTTAAACCACCAAAAGACAATTTAGGTGTAAGTAAACTGACTCAATATTAACAACAACAGTACCCTCAAAACAGTAAAAACTTCTAGAAAAAGCAAAGAAGTCCACCTATAAAGAGTTACCAGACTGTCTCCCCCTCACTCTCTCACTCGCCTGCTAGTTGACCTACCAATGATCACTCCCTCAGCTTCTCCAATGCAGAGGTGTTACTCAGATGTGCCACTGACAAGCCTGGATGATCAAGTATTTTGGTGACACCATCACAATTAATATTTTAGCTATCTGGAACTTGGCAGAATTTCCTTTTTAAGCTCTTCAGAAACATCCCTATGACAACACAATTTTATACTAAACTGGATTTTCTCTCAGAAGTTACAAGAACTCAGAGAAATACAATAAAAATGTTCCTAGATAGAAGGAAAACTGGAAAACTGGACAATTAAGAGGCTACTGCCTTCCAATGATTACAATAAAAAGGCTATGTCAACCATTTAAGCCTGCCCTAGGGCCTTATCTGGCCTTAACCTCTTGACCATGGCAGATCAGGACTCTATCACATGCACTACTACAGCGAAGAGACGATCAGCCATAGACTGCACTAACACCACGAATGTCTTCTACGCCAACTCCAAGCATATAAAACAACTCATACTTCAAAAGCTTGTCCAATGAAACAACAGATAAAAATGCCACTTACCTTAATTCGAGGCATGGTCACAGTGGGTGGCTTGGCTTCAGCAATGAAACTATAGGAAGTCCCTTTTTCAACAACTTGAGTAGTATACGGCATGAACTGTTTACCTTTGGATCCAAACACAAAGTCATCTCTCAAAGCATCTATCAGCACAATGACAACTTTTTTGAAGAGCGGTGGAGGAATCTTGGTCCAGTTAGAAACCATTCCTAAGCAACAAAAACAGGGCATACAAAAAACATCAACAAATTTTACTGAGGACTAGCCAGAAGTCAAAGGACAACTTCACCATGTAAATGAGTGCTTTCAACTTCTTTATTAATTCTACACCCAGAAATGGGAAGCTGCAAACAGCAAACCTGAGAAGTAATCTGAGGAAGATGAGTTTTCAAGCCATCCAGCACAGGAATAATATGACAACAACTCCAAAGCCACATCTAGGAAGTAAAACAAGATGTGAACAGAATGCGTGATGTGAAATTGGGGAAACGAAGGAAAACTTTTGGAATGGAGAGTGTTCAAAGTAATAAGAAGGGATAGCTGCTACCTTCTCTCTTCTTATTTCAGAAAAGCTGAACTAATTGTATCTGACAGACAACATCTGTTAGAAAAAAGACATAGCATTCACCTGTGCTAATACCCAATTTCGCACATCACAACATAAAAAATGCCTCTTTATGAAATCTCACCATAAGGTAACAGGAAGGTTACAAAGAAAGAGACAACTTCACTGAAACTTGTATGAAACAGATTTGTGTACATTCGTTCCCTTCAAGGTAGAAGAATGTATGAACCCAATTCCAGAATTCCCTGAACAGGGTATATAGGTGGGTACAGAAAAATGCTGCTGTGTGTCAAGTAGTAGGCAGTGCCATGCCCCCAAGCCCCACCTCTTTCTCTTGCATGGTCTTAATTCTGGCCACAGCAACTCTTCATCTGCATTGAACGTGGTCCACATGGTGACATTTATGTCTTACAGCAGCCTTTTTGTCCCAACTCTACAGATCTCATTTCCCTATCAGGAAAAAATGCAGAAGGGAAAATGGAAGCAGAATGCATCCTACCCACAGGTCTCTTACCCAGACACCATTGTATTGAATCAACTTCTCAATACACGCATTATATAAAGTTAGGGGTTTTACAGTCTTTTTAGAGTAAGGGCTTTTTCTGCTTAAGTGGTTGACAATTTGGAAAGGTTGCAGACAATGGTCTAATACAACATCAAAAACAATCCCAGAAATTGTATTCTGGGGTATATAGATAAGCCTCAACAATCACATTCACAGACTAGTTACTGTTAGTGATTTTTCCAGATCAGGAAATAGGGGAGGAGGGCATACCAGGCAGAAGAAGGAAACCTCAACAACAAAATGCAAGCAACCCTAATCAAAATGATAATTTTGTTTTTTCCAGGACCTAAATTATCAACTTAGTAGGCATGCTCTGGCTCTCCATGAAAAACATGAAGGCAACACTGGATGCTCTGTTAGTTACATCTCTCCCCTATCCACTTGCTTAGTGAAACAAAGCTCACTGAACACCAAAAATGTTCAGATCACAACCACATATACGCTATTCCTAACTTCCTCCTGCTGTGTGATTTACCAGAAAGTCAAAGTTGAAATGAATTTGGAGTCGTTTACAAGCCATGTGAAAATACTAACTGTAAGATAGCTAAAGCAACACATTGCCCAGGTCTGGCCCTGCAGCATGTTTATTTATCTCTGCCAGGGTTACTTAGAAAATAGTTACTTTAAATGAACCTGAACTTCCGTGAAGAAAACCACAGGTTCTCTACCAAGAACTTATAATAATGTGCTGCAAGTGTTCAGTAGCACAACCCTCTCACAGTCAAGACAGCATGTACTCAATGGCAGCCAGGACTCACAAAGTAAAACATGCAGGATTTAGAGAAGCACTGGAGAAATGTTATTTTCTGAATAGGTCTAAAGTAGGTTGAAAGCCTTCTGCATCATGGTTGAGTAAGCAATACCCTGGCTTTAGACCTTATCATCCAGACATCACTGCGCAAGTACATCGTAACCAAGAACTACAGAAAACAAGTATTCCTCTACTGTCACTCCAATTTTGCCTACTACTCTTAGCTTCCTCGTGACATGCCTAAATTTAAACTACTTGTAGAGCCCGACTTCCACTCTTCAACACAAACCAGCCCTTTCAAAACCAAATTGTCCAACATTGCCTTCCCACCCACGTAGTCTCCATCTACATTAGTCTCCTGCTATTATCACATGTGAATGCAGTATTTCAGTCATAGCAGTCTAACAAATATCTGTGACAGTCTTGGTAAACTCCAGCTAAAAATCAACCTGCCTTTCAGCAGAAACCACTCAGTCTGCCACCAGATTAGATTCCTTCAGTGTTCCTGCTTAACCAATACCAGCACATCACACCCTAAATCACACAACCTTCTGCTCCCTTCACTCAAGTTAAGTAAGTCCATCCCCAGATGTGGGGGCATAATGCCACACACTTCAGAAGAATTAACAGTAAATATCAGGCACCTGAAGACCCATTTTAGCAGTTACAATCCTGCTCCACAAGTTAACCATAGTAGACATCCTGACCAAGAGCTTTGTATGAGCAAAATACTACTCGATCCAGCTGCCAAGTGACCCTGAAGTTTCATGCCACAAGCTCCAAACTGGTCAAAAAACAGTACCTCAAGTACACAGTCCTCCTCACATTACTTTAATACAATTTGTGACCGAACAGGTAAGACGACTACATTATTAGCACATCCTCTAATGACTCCTCAAAAAGATTCTCCAAAATTTTGGTTTCACAAATTTAGCTCTGGAACAGAGCAGGACGTGTAAGGACAGTGATTTCACAGAAACAGTGATGGATGGCAACACTGTGCGTATCGCGACCTGCATTACAACAGTTGCATTGTCACTACTGAGATAAGCCTCACTGAGGTGGCATTACACACACACCATAGAAACATCACAGAGATAGTTAATCTCGGGCACAAAACAGCCAGCGAATGACCACAGGAAAAGCGTGAGGGGTTTTAGCTGAGGCGGCATCACTTAATGCAAACAACTTGCCATTGAACAGGACCAGGTATCACGGCTCCATGAGAGTCACGGCAAGGGAAACAAAACGACAGGAAAACACATCCTTCAAAAAAGTGACAGCTGACGGTTGAGGCATTTCGACTGCCAGCAGATATTCCTGCCTGTGATCCATAACTGTGTGAATACCAGTTAAGTTCTAAACCACTAAGGAAACTGGTCTGGAAACACGAGGGCGCTACAGAAAGATGTTCCCTGACACCGAGCGACGGGGCCCGCCCGGCACCTGCTCGTGTTACCTGGGCCGGGAGGGGCCGGCTCGGCGGGAGGGTCCGCGCGGGCCTCTCTGCGGGGCACGGATCTGACGGGCACCGGGAAGAAGCCGCGGAGGAACAG